TAGGCTAGGAAATATCACGCTGCGGTCTATAGGAATCGAGCAGCGGACTAGTTTCGTAAACAAAAATCATATCAACACTCTCGTGATCACTAACTTGCACGGTGCAGCGCCCTTTATCGGCGGACGTCCAAAGTTCGGTCACGTGTTTGTCCCTAATTTCGGCCGTATCTGTCCGGATATATTTTGACAAGTTATCTTGGGTGGCCCTAGTTTGATAAGGTCTTACTACAAGCGGGTAGAGGAGCGGAAAGTGGTCATATCTATAGTAAAATTGTGTCTAAATATATAATAATACCAGCCGTCGCCAAGGAAACTCCGGGCGTCGGGAGTCGCGAGATGATCTCCGGCCACCGTAAGCACGGGCCTGCGGATGGCGACTACGGGTGACTCGCCGCCCGACCATGGTGCTTATTCTCGAAACCAATCTCAATGTAATTTCAATCCAAATGTCAAATCAAAATTTCAATCCAAATGTTTTTAGTGTACCATACTTTTTCGGGATAAATACTACTACAGTGTAGTGCCCAGTATATTAAAGTACAATCATATCAAGTTTCATTGTAATCGGACCGGTAGTTTTTGCGTGATGCGTGAACATACAGACAGACAGACAGACAGACAGACAGACAGACAGACAAGAATTTTCTTGATCATATTTTTGGGTTCGGTGTCTATCTAGTAACACCCCCTTCTAATTTATTTTTATATTTTCAATGTACCGAATAGGCTAGATGCCTAATTTTTATTTTAATGTCCGTCTGGTAGATTATTTTAAATCATTAGACACGTATTTTTTATTTTCTTACAGAAACGAATATTTTCAACGATTTATTGATTTAAAATGTCGCGTGACGTCACTTCTATGTACATTTTATAAGTAGAAATGACGTTTTAGCTCCCCTCCTAAACTTTGATTCGTTTTATCTAAGTATTGTTTTATTATACAACATAATAAAAAAATACGTGTCTAATATTTTTTCATTACCTAACTGACGGACTAATTACATTTTTAATTTTCATACCCTATTTACACTTCTACAGTTTTATTATATGTAAATAGATGTATAGTAAATGATATTTTTTCCATTCTCAGAGAAAGTAAACGACCATGTATAAGCCATATCACTCACTATTTATGAGTTAACTGAATATAACTACACGAAACAATAGTTAAAATAGTTTTCTCAACAGTGATTGGTAACTGGAGGTCAGCCCTTTCTACTGAGAGGTTCAAAACTGCCTATAAAATATTAAACGGTTAAACATAACTTTAGATTTTTTCGTATATATTATCTTCTTCTTTATGTTGATTTTTTGCGGTTAACTGCCTCATTGGCCCAGTGGTCGTAACTTACTCGTAAGTGCTACTCCCGGGCAAGGGGCCACTGTACAATGTAAGACCCACTTTTCACTAGTTTATATTATGAGTCCCATATAATATGGGGTGAGCCTGTTGCCATATAACGAGTACAATTCCAGACTCCGTGCTACTACTAACTAAGATGTGTTTTTAAAACCCAGTGATTCTTTGTCCGACCCGGGAATCGAACCCGATCCCCGTTGCTCGTTAGTCGCACTTGTGACCACTTGGCCAACGAGGCAGTAAAGAAATAAATATTTTATTAACCACTAGCGACTCGCCCCGGCTTCGTACGGGTGCAATATGCATGTATTGTACATACAAACCTTCCTTAAGAGAACTCTATCTATTTAAAAAAACCGCATCAAAATCCGTTGCGTAGTTTTAAAGATCTAAGCATACATAGGGACAGACAGACGGCGGATAGCGACTTTGTTTTATACTATGTAGTAATTGTTTTTTTTTTACTACTAGATTTAAACCTTTCTATTAGCAAATCACCAAGTTCGATTATTATCACAATTTTTTTTATAGCATAAGCCGGTTAACGAGTAGACGGATCACCTGATGGTAAGCAATCGGCGTCGCCCATGGACACCTGGAACACCAGAGACGTTACAAGTGCGTTACCGACCTTTTGGGGATTAGGAGTTTGAGGATCGTTGGGGATTCAGGAATTGGGGAGATTGGGGAAGGGGAGGGTAATTGGGCCTCCGGTAACCTCACTCACACGACGAAACACAACGCAAGCGTTGCTTCACGTCGGTTTTCTGTGAGGCCGTGGTATCACTCCGGTCGAGCCGGCCCATTCGTGCCGAAGCATGGCTCTCCCACACTTAAAAT